CTCAGTCTAAGTACTGGTTACAGGCGTCTACAGATGTTTTTCTTACAAACTTCTTCTTCATTTACGACTTCATGTATCACCACGTCGCCTTTGTCGTCGGACAAATTTCTTTTGTGTCTCTGAAGACTTTTATAAAACAATATTGTGACATGAAATTTGAGGTTTTTCACCGCAGTGAGGATTACGATGTTTTTCCGTTTTGGCGCCGTGTGTGCTTATCGACAGATGCCAACGTTTCGGAGAAATATACATCCTCCATCTTCATGGGACAAAGTTGGCACTCAACTAGCAGGCGGATATAAATTTTTAAATTTAAATGGGAATGGTGATTATCGCTTACGGACAAGATTTTTCGTACCTAAATGAATCTTATCAGCGGTTAAGACGGTAGAGTTCGTGATCGACAACGATATGTTACTGACAGGTCTTTGGTGTGATGCTCCGGGCGACAGTTCACCATCTGAGGATAAACGTTATGGCACAAAAGACAACATTGAATAAAAATTTTCTTGGATATTATCCATCGTCTAGTAAATATAAAACGTAAAACGACGTTTCGGAGATAGGGATTAGCTCTATCTAGTGGGCCCAACTGTGTAGGAACCTGAAGACGGAGATAGAGTCCCATCTCCGAAACGTCGTTTTACGTTTTATATTTACTAGACGATGGATAATATCCAAGTAAATTTCTATTCAATTGACTCTTCACCATCGTCAAGAAGTTTTAGATTTGATACACAAAAGACAACGTTTATGAGGAACTATACCGTTTATTTGATAATTTCTCTAAATACCACGCTCGTTTTTCTATGATGTATTTTGTTATGTAATAGCAGAAACCCTACGGTGGGCAGAATTTTATTGCAGTTGGCTGTACGCGTGGTAATTGGTGCCATTTTAGATCAGGCGGTTGTTTGACCATCGCAATTGAGTACTTAGTTCTTGAATGGGCAAGGTTGGACTGCAGAATGCATTGTCACATTGTCTGATGTGCTCCATATTAGAAATGACGTAATGTTTTCTCCTGCAGGGTTCCAGCCGCGTACTTAGGGATAAAGGAAATGTACTTCCTGTTTGTGGTCTCAGAAGCATAAGGGGGAAAATGCTTTATGGTACCACACGTTGATAAATAACTTCAGACTTCCGGAATATAACCATTAAACATAAATGTTTTTTTTAATCTCTTTACATTTCCTTCTTGGATGTTAATTATTCGAGACGATGCTTTGATCTACTGAATATTGGGTTGTCATGATATTTGCATAAGAGCAAGGATATATGCATAATAAATATTTGAATGCAATTATTATTTTCAGAATTGTGTTTT